TACTGGAATACTGTATTTGGGGTAGTTTGAACAGGTTTCCAACTTTATTAATCATTACAGCGTATTACTCAATTGCACATCCAAAGAAAGGTTTCACAAAAGCATTCATATTGGAATAGCATTTAGTTGACTATGAAACCCCAAAACCTTAACACTTTTGATTTCCTTTAAAACTAATTTGGGCCTTGCCACAAATACCACACTGGTGTCAGATTTTGACTAATGCATTACATCATGTCTCCTTATGCACTAGCTAGGTTTAATAAGAGAGATATGGGTGAACTGGGTTCTATCTTATGTACACTGATTTATAGTGAGCGTCAACAGGAGATGTCCCTATCAACTCCACTCCCCTGGCTCCTCTCCTTTTGAATCCTACACACATCACTACTAATAGGATCCTTACTGAAGCCTGCCTGTGGTCCTTACCTTGACCCTGTCACAGACCAACCAGACCAGAGCAAAAACACAGTGCCGGTGTCTCCTATATCATTTCAGATCATTGTACTGTATGTGGAAGTACAGTGTTTGAAGGTAAACGAGAGCTTACCAACGTGCCTACTGATTATTCTGATTTCAAAATATACACACTGGATGGAATTAGTTTTCATCTAGAATGTGATATTTTTGGCATTGTAAAAAAAATTGACTAAACCCACTGAAATCCCTAAACTGTACATCTTGGGTCTTTCCGGGTAGTCTAGTTAAATGAGACTACTAACACTACTTTTCATGGACAAATGGACAAGAAAACAAGTTACATTGATACACCCCTTTATAAGGTTAGGGTTCCCACACGGCCAAACAGTGCCTTGCAAAAGTATTCATCCCCCTTGGTGTTTTTTTCTATTTTGTTGTATTACAATCTGTAATTCAAATGGATTTTTATGTGGATTTGATGTGATGGACATACACCAAATAGTCCATATTGGTGAAGTGAAATGAAAAAAATTACTTGTTTCAAACATTTCTAAAAAATAAATAACGGAAAAGTGGTGCGTGCATATGTATTCACCCCCTTTGCTATGAAGCCCCTAAATAAGATCTGGTGCAACCAATTACCTTCAGAAGTCACATAATTAGTTAAATAAAGTCCACCTGTGTGCAATCTAAGTGTCACATGATCTCAGTATATATACACCTGTTCTGAAAGGCCCCAGAGTCTGCAACACCACTAAGCAAGGGGCACCACCAAGCAAGCGGCACCATGAAGAACAAGGAGCTCTCCAAACAGGTCAGGGACAATGTTGTGGAGAAGTAAAGATCAGGGTTGGGTTATAAAAAATATCAGAAACTTTGAACATCCCACGGAGCATCATTCAATCCATTATAAAAAAATTGAAAGAATATGGCACCACAACAAACCTGCCAAGAGAGGGCCGCCCACCAAAACTCACAGACCAGGCAAGGAGGGCATTAATCAGAGAGGCAACAAAGAGACCAAAGATAGCCCTGAAGGAGCTGCAAAGCTCCACAGCGGAGATTGGAATATCTGTCCATAGGACCACTTTAAGCCGTACACTCAACAGAGGTGGGCTTTACGGAGGAGTGGCCAGAAAAAAGCCATTGCTTAAAGAAAGAAATAAGCAAACACGTTTGGTGTTTGCCAAAAGGCATGTGGGAGACTCCCCAATCATATGGAAGAAGGTACTCTGGTCAGATGAGACTAAAATTTAGCTTTTTGGCCATCAAGGAAAACACTATGTCTGGCACAAACCCAACACCTCTCATCACCCCGAGAACACCATCCCCACAGTGAAGCATGGTGGTGGCAGCATCATGCTGTGGGGATGTTTTTCCATCGGCAGGGACTGGGAAACTGGTCAGAATTGAAGGAATGATGGATGGCGCTAAATACAGGGAAATTCTTGAAGGAAACCTGTTTCAGTCTTCCAGAGATTTGAGACTGGGACGGAGGTTCACCTTCCAGCAGGACAATGACCCTAAGAATACTGCTAAAGCAACACTTGAGTGGTTTAAGGAGAAACATTTAAATGTCTTGGAATGGCCTAGTCATAGCCCAGACCTCAATCCAATTGAGAATCTGTGGTATGACTTAAGGATTGCTGTACACCAGCACAACCCATCCAACTTGAAGTAGCTGGAGCAGTTTTGCCTTGAAGAATGGGCAAAAATCCCAGTAGCTAGATGTGCCAAGCTTATAGAGACATATGCCAAGAGACTTGCAGCTGTAATTGCTACAAAAGGTGGCTCTACAAAGTATTGACTTTGAATGAATAGTTATGCACGCTCAAGTTTTCTGTTTTTTTAATCTTATTTCTTGTTTGTTTCACATAAAAAAAATATTTTGCATCTTCAAAGTGGTAGGCATGTTGTGTAAATCAAATGATACAAACCCCCAAAAAATCCATTTTAATTCCAGGTTGTAAGACAACAAAATAGGAAAGATGCCAAAGGGGGTTAATACTTTCGCAAGCCACTGTATTTCCATGTTACAGCGCTTGTTTCCGGAAAACAGAAGGAAGAGAGTGGGCTACCTGTGCTAATTAACTATCTGCATCTCCAAACACCTGTGTGTAAATGGAAGACAGATGCCACAAATACTGTCGTCTGCAACTGTGTTAAAATCAGTAAAACAGTGTGTACTTTACATTTGTGAAATTATTTTGATGTGATATGAAAGTAAAGGGATTTATGTTTCTAGAACCGTAACCGCAACTGAGAATCGATTCACGTTTAGATGGGAGTATTTGGCTGTGTTGGCTTCCAGAGCCAATTCGCCTTTAAACAGAACATGTAAGGTCCTTGGACTATAAGGAGAAACGTTAGGCTGCTTTAGTCCAGTATTAGGCTCCTCCTGTCAACATTAAGAAATGTATGAAATAACCTGTCATCTTAATAGGCCTTTTAAAGTATGTTATAAATCTCACATGGAGACATGTAGGACCTTCATATAGAGCAAAACAACAGAACTAGTCAGACAGAATAACTTTTTGGAAAGAATACACCCACAGACAACATATAGAAATTAGGTCGTGTCTATTGGTGCGTTTTACAATACAAGAGCAGCCTATCCCCTAGTTTGTGTCCAGCAAATTACATTAAATTATGATCTCATCATTGTGTGATGTGTGTGTGAAAGGAACCGGCTATTGTGATTTGGTTTAAATACACATTCAATGCTTCAAATGGCATGAGAAACAAGGGCCTACCGCCACATGAGCACATGTCAAACCAACTGACAGGTTGTTCACTGAAAGGACCAGGAATTAGTAGTGTTTCTGAGTGTCTTATTGAAACGGGTTAATATAGACTCTGCCCTAAAATGGCCACCAAGGGCGGATCGTTTCAGTTCTTACCTGTTCCATGTGTATGGGACAGCTGATACATAACCCTGGTCATGGAGAGAGAAAACTGCAGATCTTTGATGATTTGCAAAAGCATTTGATGCTGATGCAAGTATAGTATTGTGTTTACTTTCCAACCAATTATTATACATTGAGTTAACAAAACTGCTCATTCCATGACATAGACTGACCAGGTGAATCCAGGTGAAAGCTATGATACCCTTATTGATGTCACTTGTTAAATCCACTTGAAATCAGTGTAGATGGTGACAGGTTAAAGAAGGATTTTTAAGCCTTGAGACATGGATTGTATATGAGTGCCATTCAGAGGGTGAATGGGCAAGACAAAAGATTGAAGTGCCTTTGAACGGAGTATGGTAGTAGGTGCCAGGAACTGAGTGTGAACAGGGTATGGTAGTAGGTGCCAGGAACTGAGTGTGAACAGGGTATGGTAGTAGGTGCCAGGAACTGAGTGTGAACAGGGTATGGTAGTAGGTGCCAGGAACTGAGTGTGAACAGGGTATGGTAGTAGGTGCCAGGAACTGAGTGTGAACAGGGTATGGTAGTAGGTGCCAGGAACTGAGTGTGAACAGGGTATGGTAGTAGGTGCCAGGAACTGAGTGTGAACAGGGTATGGTAGTAGGTGCCAGGAACTGAGTGTGAACAGGGTATGGTAGTAGGTGCCAGGAACTGAGTGTGAACAGGGTATGGTAGTAGGTGCCAGGAACTGAGTGTGAACAGGGTATGGTAGTAGGTCATAGAAACCTGAAAGAATCAAAGAGAAGAGGTCAAAAGGACATAATTTGAAGGCTGTAAAAAAAATATTACACACACGCAGTAGTATCTTTATCTAATGAAGTATCTTTATGCAAATTCATCTTGATAATAATACAGCAGATTCATGACAAGTTGACCATATATAACACGTGATCAAGTACTAAATTAAGGGAATATTGCAGTACAGTACACTCTAAAGTGCACATTTGCCATTTTCAGATCGAAAAAGAAAGTTGCTTGTTATGTGCAATCTGTGCCGTAGGTCAACCAACCAATCTGCATGTCCAAACCACTACTTTCCCTTAGTAAAAGTGAAAATCATTTGATGGAAGGTGTATTCTAAACTGTTGGCCCCAACAGAACACAAGCAGGCACAGTCAAGCTGATATTTATGGACGCTTACTCTGCAGTAGAGTTGTTCCAGTAACATTCCCAAAATTCCTAGGTTTCCCAGAAGCCCTGGTTAGGGGATTCCGGATTTCCTGCTTATTCCCTCCTGTACATTTTGAGAAAGTTATAGGAATGTTGCAACCCTACTCTGCAGCATTGTACATTGGTGATGTTATATAATGAAATGGTTGCTACATTGGCGATATTTGAAAATTCCTTTAGTGGAGGCACTTGACTTGAGGTTGAAAACAACAGAGATATGGCAGGTGTTAGCCATCATGACCACAGCCAACCATCTTCACACATCCAAACACAATTCATCAGAAAAAATACTTTAATTGAGCACACAGACCTCCCAAATGAACTCTCACAATCATAATGCAGGCGAGTCACACACAGTAGAGTACTTGAGTAATTACACGTATTCTGCTCTACTGTAGTCCTTCAGTTTGAATAGTAGGCTCTCTGGTTTAAGCCTCAACGAATTGAGCTTCCTAGGGCTTCCTCTAGGCATAGTGTGGCCCCTTAAACATAGTGGGTTCCGAGCCTGGTGCCAGGGACTACTTTGGGTTGAGTGAAGGATGAGACTGAGAGTGAGCCCTTGGGACAACTACTCAGACACCTGCAGCCCAGGAGAGATCCGCCCACCACAGAGCAGATGCCTGCAGCCCAGCTCACCAGCACAGCATTGCCAAACTCAAACCTGTCGGATTAAACAAGAAACACAAAAAAATTAAACCCAGTCAACACCACAGAATGTAGTCCACATCAGCCGCAAAACACAGAATAAACTATGTGTAGAATTCAAATTCTAAATAACAATTTGATATAAATTGCACTACAGCCAGGTGTAGTTTCTTAGCTTGCATCCCAAATGGTATCCTATTCCGTATTTTGCGCCCTTCTTCTGACTAGAGCCGTCCTATGGGTCCTTGGTCAAAAGTAGTGCATTGATAGGGCTCAGTCTAAAGACTATTACGAGTCTTAACACATACAGCCATGGATAATTCTGATACGTGCTACTGGACAGTACCTGTTATGTAAGGAGGTAGGTGAGTCTGAGAATTCAAAGGACTGGATGATGGCGTTGGCAAACCAGGAGGTTACTGATATGGCCAGAACACCTACAGAGAATACAATATTAGAACATCTTATTACACACTATTTCATTATCAGCTTCTGCTACTCAACCTAGAGTTAAAACTAGCAGCATTTTCAGTTGTACAAGTGGTAATAGCAGCATTTTGGGCTACGGTACAGAGCTGTACGCTAAAGCACGGAGTTATGTGATGTCAGATGGGACCATTTCTTGGCATTTCACAATGTAGCATTTACTGTTCAGAGCTAAAATGGATGAAAACAACTTTCATTACTGATATGATAAAGTAGCCGACTGTACCTGCGATGATGAAGAGGAATCCTCCAACAATGGCTACTCTATCCTTCTCCTCTTCATCCTCCTCCAGGCACCGGGTGCATCTCATCCCCAGCGTGGCTACCAGCACCCCAACGGCTGACAACAGGACACTGAGGATCATCACCACTCGGGTGGTCAGAATCTCCGCTACACACACACACACACACACAGGGTAAATGTCAGAGGTCAACCCATACTCTCAACACTCAACAGTCAAACATACACCAACATTGAATATGGCTACATTGAACACATCCATATCAAAGTCATGAGTCAGTGTGAAACTTACTAAGAGAAAGAAAATACACTTGAACTGTGTGTGAACAAGTACTATTTGTAATAATAAATGGTAGCTGTCATCAGTTTTAATGATCAACATTATTAACATTAGGCTTATATTTATATCTTCTCATTGCATTAAACATCAACAAGTAGCCTACCATTATATTAAGCTATATTGTGCCTGCTCTGAAGGTGAGTGACCACTAGTGAACGAATGGCGTTGATGATGACAGACGCTATGGAAAACTTACCTGGCAGGTGAAAGAGTGACTTGTAATTGACGCACATCGTGTGTTTGGTGGCGTCGACGGTGCATGACATCCACAGCCCCAGGTAAGTTTCCTTCGATGTTACCGTGCTCTCTGTGTAAGAGTGCCTTTTCCACTCCACCATATTGGTGGCAATCATTGAGGCAACAAGACCGATCAAAGTAAGAGCATAACCGAGAAGTTGAACCGCAGAGCTCGTCATGGTATTCCGATGAGATGACAAACGTTTGATAATAAAGGCTACTAAAATGGGCGTTGATGAAAAATAGACCAAATAAATGAACAGTGGAAAAATGTAAGATCTAATCTTGAAATTGATGAAATGTCCTTGAATCTCAATGTCTGTTTAATCTCTTGAAGCAAACCGAACTCCGTTATAGTTCAATTCCTGCCGCGGTGTGGACCGTTATCTCACACTCTCAGCGTTTGCACCTGTGTTCAGTGAGTAGTGCATCCACTCTTGGCTATTTAAACCGTCTGTGGGACAGCTCACTGGCGCCTACTGGTGGTTATACATAGATCGATTTCTAATGAAAAGGTCAGCAATTTCTCATTATGGGTGTGATTTTTACATTTTAGTCATTTAGCAGACGCTCTTATCCAGAGCGACTTACAGTTAGTGAGTGCATACATATTAGATAGCCTTTCCATCTATCATTCATGTCCTGTAAAAAAAAAAAAATGAACTCAGAGGAAATCAACTGAGACATTTATTCCACGGTACATAACTAAAGTTGTAATGTGTGTTAATCTGCTATAGTGACACATCCAACTTGAGATAATTGTGGTTTATCCATTACATTAGATGGCCTTCCACATAATTAATATTTATATGTTTATCACATAGTCTGAGTTGTTAAATGAGTTTGCTTATCATTAGGTTTTTCCAACCCATATGAAAATCAAACCCTGGGTGATTCCCCCCCCCCAGTTGGACACAAAATCCAAACCAGTTTTAAATCCAACCAATGCAGATGATTTTAGGCCTATGTGATGGACTTACATTTTCAGGATTGCCACGTTTTGTATGCAATTTGTATTGGAGACTAGCCAGGTTTACTGTATTTAAATGTTTCACTGACACATACTAAACACAATTTCTGTTTACATACAGTGCATTCAGAAAGTATTCAGACCCCTTGACTTTTACCATATTTTGTTACGTTACAGCCTTATTCTAAAATTGATTAAATTGGTTTTTTCCTAATCAATCTACACCATAATGACAAAGCAAAAACAGTTTTATAGACATTTTTGCAAATGTATAAAATAAAATAAAACTGAAATAACACATTTACATAGTATTCAGACCCTTTACTCAGTATTTTGTTGAAGCACCTTTGGCAGTGATTACAGCCTCGAGTCTTCTTGGGTATGACGCTATAAGCTTGGCACACCTGTATTTGGGGAGTTTCTCCCATTCTTCTCTGCAGATCCTCTCAAGCGCTGTAAGGTTGTATGGGGAGCGTCGCTGCATAGCTATTTTCAGGTCTCTCCAGAGATGTTAGATTGGATTCAAGTCCGGGCTCTGGCTCGGTCACTCAAGGACATTCAGATACTTGTCCCGAAGCCACTCCTGCGTTGTCTTGGCTGTGTGCTTAGGGTCGGTGTCCTGTTGGAAGGTGAACCTTTGCCCTAGTCTGAGGTCCTGAGCGCTCTGGAGCAGGTTTTCATCAAGAATCTCTCTGTACTTTGCTCCGTTCATCTTTCCCTCGATCCTGACAAGTCTCCCAGTCCCTACCGCTGAAAATCCCCACATCCCCACAGCATGATTCTGCCACCACCATGCTTCACCGTAGGGATGGTGCCAGGTTTCCTTCAGACGTGACGCTTGGCATTCAGGCCAAAGAGTTCAATCTTGGTTTCATCAGACCAGAGAATCTTGTTTCTCATGGTCTGAGAGTCCTTTAGGTGCCTTTTGGCAAACTCCAAGAGGGCTGTCATGTGCCTTTTACTGAGGAGTGGCTTCCATCTGGTCACTACCATAAAGACCTGACTGTTGGAGTGCTGCGGAGATGGTTGTCCTTCTGGAAGGTTCTCCTATCACCACAGAGAAACTCTGGAGCTCTGTCAGAGTGATCATCGGGTTCTTGGTCACCTCCCTGACCAAGGACCTTCTCCCCCGATTGCTCAGTTTGGCCAGTGTCACGATCGTCGTTAAGAGATGAGGACCAAGGCGCAGCGTTGCAGACGAACATACTCTTTATTAGCGATACAACGACAAAATAAACAAAACGATAACGTGACAGTTCACGGTCTAACACAAACCAACTAGAAACAAGATCCCACACACACGAAAGAAAATAGACTGTTTAAATATGGCTCCCAATCAGAGACAACCAGCAACAACTGACACTCGTTGCCTCTGATTGGGAGCCACTCTGGCCAACATAGAAATAGCACCCATAGAATTTCCACCATAGAAACAAAACACATAGATCTACACACCCTGGCTCAACATAAGTGTCCCCAGAGCCAGGGCGTGACAGTACCCCCCCCTAAAGGCGCGGACTCCGACCGTGTCAACCAAATACCACAGGGGAGGGACCGGGTGGGCACTCCGCCTAGACGGCGGATCCGGCTCCGGGCCTGATCCCCGCTCCCTCTCCAACCCCCCAAAGTACCCCTGGTCCGGTCTGGCCCCGCTGGCCGGAGCTGGACTGCACACTAATGAAGCGGATTGCTCTAGCTCCGGCGTAAGGCATCTGACCGGTGCCGAACCAGGCACCAGTGGAACAGGCACGGGCCGTGCCGGACTGACGACGCCCACCACTGGCTTGGTGTGGAGAACAGGCACGGGCCGTGCTGGACTGACGACGCACACCACTGGCTTGGTGTGAGGAGCAGGAGCGGGCCGGACCGGGCTGGCGATGCGCACCATAGGCTTGGTGCGGGAAGCAGGAGCGGGCCGGACCGGGCTGACGATGCGCACCCCTGGCTTGGTGCGTGGAGCAGGAACGGACCGGACCGGGCTGACGATGCGCACCCCTGGCTTAGTGCGTGGATCAGCAACGGGCCGAACCAGGCTGACGACTCGCACCCCTGGCTTGGTGCGAGTGGCAGGAACAGGCCGGACCGGGCTGGCGACGCGCACCATAGGCTTGGTGCGGGGAGCAGGAACAGGCCGGGCCGGGCTGGCGACGCGCACCGCAGGCTTGGAGCGAGGGGCAGGAACAGGCCGGACCGGGCTGGCGACGCGCACCATAGGCTTGGTGCGGGGAGCAGGAACAGGCCGGGCCGGGCTGGCGACGCGCACCGCAGGCTTGGTGCGAGGGGCAGGAACAGGCCGGGCTGGGCTGGAGACGCGCACCGTAGGCTTGGTGCGAGGGGCAGGAACAGGCCGGGCTGGGCTGGCGACGCGCACCGTAGGCTTGGTGCGGGGAGCAGGAACAGACCGGACCGTACTGGGGACACACACCACTGGCCCTACACCGGGATCTGGAACGGGCCGGACCGGACTGGTAACACACCCCAGTACCTCTCGCCGTGCCTCTACACCTTCCTTCCCTTCTTTGACCAGTGGCCCCCGTAACCTGGCGGCCTCCTCTGCCAACCCGCTGGACTGCTCTATCGCGGCCTCCTGCTGCCCCGACGTCGTGAGCCCCCCCCTAAAAATTTTCTGGGGGTCTCTCTTCCCCGTGGGCCAGGCCTCTATAGTTCTCGCCCAACTCTCGCTCATCTGCTTCCAACTCCCGCCATTCAGCTCCTCATTTGGCTTGACCCAATCGAAACTCTTCCTCCACTGTTCCCAAGTCCACCCTCTCTGCTCCTCACTAGGCTTGACCCAGTCGAGGTTGCCACGGAGATCTGCTAGCGATTCCCCTGGCGATGGCTCCTGGACACGCTGCTTGGTCCAGTTTAGGTGGGATCTTCTGTCACGATCGTCGTTAAGAGATGAGGACCAAGGCGCAGCGTTGCAGACGAACATACTCTTTATTAGCGATACAACGACAAAATAAACAAAACGATAACGTGACAGTTCACGGTCTAACACAAACCAACTAGAAACAAGATCCCACACACACGAAAGAAAATAGACTGTTTAAATATGGCTCCCAATCAGAGACAACCAGCAACAACTGACACTCGTTGCCTCTGATTGGGAGCCACTCTGGCCAACATAGAAATAGCACCCATAGAATTTCCACCATAGAAACAAAACACATAGATCTACACACCCTGGCTCAACATAAGTGTCCCCAGAGCCAGGGCGTGACAGCCAGGCGGCCAGCTCTAGGAAGAGTCTTGGTGGTTCCAAACTTCTTCCATTTAAGGATGATGGAGGCCACTGTGTTCTTGGGGACCTTCAATGCTGCAGACATTTTTTGGTACCCTTCCCCAGATCTGTGCCTCGACACAATCCTGTCTCGGAGCTCTACGGACAATTCCTATGACCTGACGTGCACGGTCAACTGTGGGACCTTATATAGACAGGTGTGTGCCTTTCCAAATCATGTCCAATCAATTGAATTTACCACAGGTGGACTCCAATCAAGTTGTAGAAACATCTCAAGGGTGATCAATGGAAACAGGAAGCACCTGAGCTCAATTTCCAGTCTCATAGCAAATGGTCTGAATACCTATGTAAATAAGGTATTTGTTTTTTATTTTGAATATATTTGCACCCAAAAATGTTCACCTGTTTTTGCTTTGCCATTATGGGGTATTGTGTGTAGATTGATGAGGGAAAAAATTTATTGAATCCATTTTAGAATAAGGATTTGATGTAACAAAATTTGGAAAAAGTCAAGGGGTCTGAATACTTTCCGAATGCACTGTACCTGTGTACAGGTTCATAAAATGGGACAGCTTAAAGAAGCTTCTAGAGATACACACCTGAAAGACGCTTCAGTCTGAGAAGAAACATTTTGAAGTAAATATGAATTTTGTCATATTTATCTGGTAACTACTGGCATATAAAGGTAGTACACCACATTTTGAAATACTGACAAAAGAGAAAGAGCAAAGATCTGGTTTAGTTTACTTTATTTATTGACCCTGTAACCTGCAAAGCACAACCAATTCAACGATGCAAAAAATATTTTATGAGATAGCAACCTGATTTAACACCATAGGAATGTGTAGCGCACAACTGGCCCAGCGTCGTCCGGGTTAGGGGAGGGTTTGGCTGGACGGGGTGTCCTTGTCTCATCGCGCTCTAGCGACTGCTTGTGGCGGGCCGGGCGCCTGCAAGCTGACTTC